GATACACACATTTTTGGGGGGACATAATTCAATCCATGACAGATGTTTACCTATGTTTTATTGACTATGCAAAGGCATTCGATTGTGTGGGTCATAACAAATTATGGATAACATTGGGAAGAATGAGAATTCCAGAACACTTAATTGTGCTCATGAGGAACCTGTACACAGATCAAGAGGCAGTTGTTCGGACAGAACAAGGGGATACTGTGTAGTTTAAACTCAGGAAAGGTGTGCGTCAGTGTCGTATCTTTTCACCATACCTATTCAGTCTGTATACCGAGCAAATAATCTGAGAAGCTAGACTATATGAAGAAGAAACAGACATCAGGATCGGAGGAAGACTCATTAACAACCTGTGATATGCAGATGATACAACCTTGCTTGCTGAAAGTGAAGAGGACTTGAAGCGCTTGCTGGTGAAGATCAAAGACTACAGACTTCAGTATGGATTACACCTCAACATAAAGAAAACAAAAATCCTCACAATCGGACCAATAAGCAACATCATGATAAATGGAGAAACGATTGACGTTGTCAAGGATTTCATTTTACTTGGATCCACAATCAACACCCACAGAAGCAGCTGTCAGGAAATCAAAAGATGCATTGCATTGGGCAAATCTGCAGCAAAGGACCTCTTTAACGTATTGAAAAGCAAAGAAGTCACCTTGAAGACTAAAGTGTGCCTGACCCAAGCCATGGTATTTTCAATTGCATTATATGCATGCAAAAGCTGAACAATGAATAAGGAAGACTGAAGAAGAATTGACGCCTTTAAATTGTGGTGTTGACGAAGAATATTGAATATACCATGGCCTGCCAAAAGAACGAACAAATCTGTCCTGGAAGAAGTACAACCAGAATGCTCCTTAGAAGGAAGGATGGCAAGACTATGTCGCACATAGTTTGGACATGTTATCAGGAGGGATCAGTCCCTGGAGAAGGATATCATGCTTGGTAAAGCAGAGGGTCAGCAAAAAAGAGGAAGACCTTCAGCGAGGTGGATTGACACAGTGGCTACAACAATGGGCTCAAGCATAACGATTGTGAGTATGGCGCAGGACTGGGCAGTGTTTCATTTTGTGGTGCAAAGGGTCGCTATGAGTCAGAACTGACTTGGCGGCATCTAACAACAACAGTGGTGCCACGGAATAAAGCTCTGGCAATCTGCTTCCAGAAAGATTAAAGCCAAGAAAACCCTATAGAGTAGTTCTACTCAGAAACATGTGGGGTCGCCATAAGTTGGAATCGACTTGACAGCAACAAGTTTGTTTTTTTTAGGGACCTAGAGAGACGTCTAAAAGATAAATAGTCCATCTTCCTACGATTAGAATTCACTCACAGCAAGGTATGATAGAAAGCATGGAGTTACAAGATGAGGATGTGAACCCCTGTTCTGCCCTTTACTACCTTTGTAGTAGGACTTATTGAACCACTTTGAATCTCAGCTTTCCCATCCATAAGATGGAAATTATCATATTAATGCTACCTATCTCACAGAGCTGCAGTGCAAATTCAAGAAGATAACACATATGAGGCCTACACTATTTGGGAGCAATGCCCCAAACCACCACTGATACCACACCAAAAGTGTTACAGTATTAGGCAGCTCACATAAAACAAGAAATAAGTTTTCTTGCCCACCCTCCATCTACCTCTCTATCAAAACAAGCAAAATTGAAGCTGAAGAGAGTGCAGTTGCCAGAACCAGCATCCAAATGGTGCACAAATTAGCAGCCAGCAGCTGTTCCCAGGGTTAACAAGTCAATATTAAGGACTCTATGTCATCAGTAACAAAATCCTGCAGGAAACACAGACACGCCAGGACAGGCCAGCTGACAGGAGACAACACAGGCCAGAGCCCCACTAGCTGAGGCTTATCAACACTTCCTTAACGAGAGGTAACTGAAAGGTGATAACAAAAGTTTGCTTACAAAATCCTATTTCCATTAGACTCTTGCTACTCAATGTGTGATTCGGGAACCAGCTGCAGCAGCGTCACTGGGGAGCTTGTCGGAAATGCAGCCACTCAAGCCCTGCTTCAGACATCCTAAACCAGAATCTGCATTTTAACAAGATCCCCAGGTGAATGAATTGTGTGCGCATTACATTTTGAGAAGCACAGTTTTTGAAGTTCACGTTAGTATATAAAATAAAGTGTATGTAGTTCTCCACAACTGCTTTTAAGTGTTGTAAGATCTCTGATTAAAGAACCCCTCTAGATACTGGTACACATAGAAATCTCATGCAGGTAGACTCTACCTGACTATTACTATGAAGATTCCAGTATCCAGATGGGCAAAAACATAAGCAGCACCCTTTGGAGAATAATGTCTTAATGAATGCCTATCTGTGCCTGAAGGAGCCCTGGTGGCACAGTGGTTAAGCGCTGGGCTGCTAACTAAAAGGCTGGTGGTTTGAAACCCACCAGCTGTTCTGCGGGAGAAAGATGTAGCAGTTTTCCTTCCGTAAAAGATTATAGCCTTGGAAACCCAATGGGGTAGTGCCACTCTGTCCCATAGGATTGCTGTGAGTAGGAATTGTTTCGACAGCAGTGGGTTTTTAATCTGTGTTTGGAGGATGGTGCCAGCTACAAGAGCACCTATTATGAGCCCTAGTAAGAATTCAGCATATGTTTATTGACCATTCATTCAACAACCATTTACTAGGCATCTACAATGTGCAGGGCTTTATTCTTAGAGAAGTCAGTAACCAAGCCTGGAGGAAGCAACCGTCTTTGAAATTGAGCTACAACTCTACATAAAAATCCAAATCTGCATGTAATTGAAAAGCATTCAAAATTAAATTTTAAGTTAAGGGAATTCAAAGAACATCACCCTCCTGTTTGTAGAAGTGTTACAGGAAAGTAAAATTTTCATAGGAAAAATACTAGGAACCATAAAATATACACTTCAAATCCATTTTCTGGTCAGTTTATGTGAGCAACCAGAGGTGAGAAAGGAAGAAACAGATACAAAAGAAGGAAGAATAAAAGGGAGGCTCAACAGAAGTGGATGAAGGACGAGACAGTGAGAAATGAACAGAAGAGAGAAAGAGATACAGGTAGAGCGAGGCAGAGGCAAGAGCAACAGTGTATGAGGTACTAGGCAAGTTAGAGCTGCTGCTGCCACAGCTGACAATTCCTTTGAGTTCATGGTAAAAGACTACTTCCTGTCACTTCCTTTGATAAAATTCTGTGGTGCTGTAGCACTCACTGGTCATGGCTCTTCAACTGTTTTTGTTAAACACTGTTGGCTCTAAATGGATTAAAGAACTACAGCAGCCCTTTTGTGCCTAGAGGTACTCTTATATCATCTGTAACTGTAAGAGGATGATTTAATTAATCAATTATCAACAAGGAGGCTAATTAATTACCCAACAATGGAGTTCTAATATTTATTGTGCCCTAGAAAACCTGACCTAAGGACCTTGCCATCTCCTCGTTAGGCACAGCAATGATATCGAACTGGACCTGCATGACTAGTGATCATCTATTCTTTTCAAACGGATGTCCAGGAATAGACATCTCAGGAAATTAATATAAAAACTGATGGTTGAGGTATTTGTCTGATATCTAAAATCTATTTTAAGAGAGGACCATATCAGGCTGTCTGAAGGAAAGAGCAGTGAGACCTAATGGTTTTATTACCCCATGAGCATTTAAAAAAAAAAAAAATCTAGTCAACGCAAGGACTGCAACCAACATCACAAAATAATCTGTGTATAAATTTTTGAATGAGAAACTAATTTGTGCTGTAAGCTTTCACCTAAAGCACAATAAACATTTTTTTTTTTTTAATCTAGCTTTGTTTTGTTTACTGATTTATTTTTACTTTTAAGGAAGAAATTCTGGAACCTTGTCAGGACTGATGCTGCTCCTAGGGTGAAGTGAAGCACAACAGATAGGTGAACAGACTAGCTGAGACCTGGCTTACCTTTCATGCATTGCGATAATAATGGTTGGAGGAAGCAAAGAAACTAGTGAATTTATAGAGAGCAATTTGAGATTTCCCATGAAAATTATTCTAGAAATGTGAAGTATCTTGTTTCTGACCAACTAAGAATTGAAATTTTGGTTGTCACAGATTTTACATGATTTTTCTTAAAAATGTCTATTCACTACCACACAGAAGTCAAAGAATAAGAGGCTTTTCACATTTTTTAAGAAATAGCAAAGAAGGAAAAGCACTTAATCTTACTGAGCCTTTATAAAGCAAAAATATTTAGTTGGCTGTGAAGGGGAAGAAAATGTGCTATAGAAAACAGAAAATATAGCTTTTAGGCAGATAGGCTGCTTTTTAAAAGATGACTCTGATTCCAGGACAATGACATAAGAGTTGAAGTGTTATTTCCTAGTCCCTATTACATTTTAACTGTCAATGATACTTAAGTAATGGAAAATTATGTTTGTATGTTTAAAGTAACTATAAATTATACATTCATTACAAAACATTTATCCCTTGTCTATTTATATACAATTATAGCCTTGCTGTCCAGCATTTTAGAGAACAGGATGTTGGTTAATAAAAATGCCAGTTAAGTAAGTGTTCATTTTCTCTGAGTTAGTCTCTCTTATTTCATTCCTCATTCTTCCCTACTAAAACGGGCAAAAGACACATATCCCATGTGTCTAAAAATTAGCAAGAACAATAAACAACTCTAACTAAAGTCTCCACTGTTTTTCTAGTTTTTTAACATTGTCTGGCATTGTCATTCAGTAAAAAGTTTGTATGACAGACTATCAGACATGCTGAATCTAGAGTTTCCTAGTTAGTAAAATACTAGATACAAAGTTTGGCTGTAATTATGCTTTTTGAAATATAGTATATACATATATATTTTATATACATGTAATATATACAATATAATTTCTACTAGACTGTAAGCTCCATGAGGGTAGTGACTATTTTTCACTTCTGTATTCACAGACTATAGCATAGTAGCTGAATTATAGTAAGCATATGATGCATTTATTTACTCATTGACTGATATTTATTATCTACCATATTTCAGGTACTATTTCTAGATGCTAAGGATATAGGATTAAAAGAAGGAAGAAAAAGTTTCTGCTCTCATTGTGTTATATTCTAGTAGAGAATAACAAATAAATAGGTAAAATATATAGTACATACTTTAAGAGAAAGAAATAAAGCTTTGCAAGTGTTGGAAAACAATGAGTATAAGTATGACTATGAGATGATACCTTTATTGGGTGGTTGTAGTAGAAGCTGTGTTGTGCCACCCAGATCTTCCTTCAGGACAAGGCACTCATTCCTCTAGCTGCCTGGAATGTTGGCTGCTGAGGGCTCACAGCTCAGTCAGTCTCCAGGAATTGTCTTTGGTAGAAGGAAGCTGCCTTGCCTGAGGTCATGCCCCTCTTTGGGGGAGCCTGTATCCAGTAAAGGGCTCATACAGTGGTACAGAGCTCCTTTGCCTCAACTGGAACAATTCTGAGGGTCCATCTGAGCTCCAGAGCTCCGCATAGGATCAGCTGAGGCCTCTGCTGCAACTGCATCACAGTTCAACTTCTCCCTCGTCTCTATCCTGCTCCCCTCATCTTCATCCATCAGAGATGTTGGTCCCAAACACACTCCATATTAAACTTCCTCATGCAAATCTCAGATTCTTAGAGTGAAAAGTGTAGAGTGGTGTTTGGATTGTATTCTAAGTGCAGTTGTCAAATAGGTACTTGATATTTGATTCTGGAGTTCAGGGGAGAAGTGGGGCTGAGGATGTGAATCTGGAAGTTGCAGCAGTGGCTAAAGCCATAAGATTAAATAAAAATTACCCTGGAAGTAAGGATAAATATAGAATAAAAGAAGACTGAGGGCAGAGTTTTGAAACTCTCCACATTTAGAGATCAAGAGTAATGGGAAGATTCAGCAAAGACGACTGAAAAAAAGCAGCCACTGAGAAGCAGAACTGAAGAGCGGTGTCCCGTAACCAAGAGGAAAACGCGCCGCAAGGAAGGAGGGAATGATAAACTGGGTCAAATGCTATAGACAGGTTGAGTTGATGAAAACTGAGTTGACCATTACATTTGGCAACATGGAGGTCATTGGTGACAAAGACAGCTTCAGTGGAATGGTGGGGACAAAAGCTTAATTTGTTGAATGAATATAACACATCTTATGAGTTGAGATTTATTAAATGCCTATGATGTTGATACAATTTGACCTTACTGATGAAGGTCAAACACTACAGCCTTCAGTATGGATTATACCTGAATGTAAAGAAAATGAAAATCCTCACAACTGGACCGACAAACAACATCGTGATAAATCATGAAGAAATGGAAATGGTCAAGGATTTTATTTACTTGGATCAACAATCAACACCTATGGAAGCAGCAGTCAAGAAGTCAGATGACGTATTACACTGAGTCAGTCTGCCGCCAAAGACCTCTTTTAAGTGATAAAAAGTAAAGATGTCACTTTGATGACTAAGGTGTGCCTGACTCAAACCATGGTCTTTTCAAATCGCCTCACATGCATGTGAAAGCTGGACGATGAAAAAAGAAAACAAACGAAGAATTGACACATTTGAGTTGTGGTGCTGGTGAAGAATATTGAATATATCATGGACTGCTAGAAGAATGAACGAATCAATCTTAGGAGAAATACAACAAAATCTTCCTTGGAGGCAAGCATGGGAGACTTCGGCTTGCTTACTTTGGACATGTCATCAGGAAAGACCAGTTGCTAGAATAGCACATCATGCTTGGTAAAGTAAAGCATCAGCAAAAAAGGGAGAAACCTTCAATGAAATGGATTGACATAATAACCGCAACAATAGGCTCAAATATATCAAAGATCATGAAGATGGTACAGGACTGGGCAATGTTTTGTTCTGCTATACATAAGGTCACCATGATTCGGAGCCCAGTGGGAGCTAAGTCGAAGCCGACTCGACGGCAACTGATGACAACATTTATAGGATATATCTGTACTTCTTCCATATTTGGGAAGGTAGATAATCTTATGCTCCCAATGCCTACAACAATATCTGTCTCATAGTATGTGCTTGATGCATATTTTTGAATAAATGAATTACATGGTGCCAAAGTACATGCATTTTTGTAAGTACACAAGCATCACTGACTTAATGATATAGGATTTTAAGAAGGAAAAGAGATCATAATCTTTCTCTCTAATTCAACTGCCTCTTTCTACAATCCAGCCAGTGATGCTTGGTTCCATACCACTTCAAAAGTAACTCTTTGAAACAGAACAGCATGGGGTTGAGGCTCTGTTCTTCTCATGTCAAGCAAAAAGTTACTTTGATTCTTTTCAGCTAAATCTTTAACAGAGCAATGAAACATAAACCTTATCATTTGAACAAGCTATAAAATTCTTTCGTGTGCATGGTGATTTTCTTGAAAAATTATTTTAGACAATATAATTTAAACCAAGATAAATTTATGTTGTGCTAGTTACTTGTACTCAAAAGAGCCTAGGTTATTTTCAAGGACTCTCAGTATTTAATATCAAAATCCAGACTAAAAAATGCAATATTGTGACATTTTCTAATTTATTTTATGAAGATAGATTTTGAATGCCATATTCAGAAAAGTACTACTTGTGGGTAATATCATTGAACAAGCCTTTGGCAGAAACTTCAAAAAGCAACTGTCATGTGCAGAAAAATAGAGACTAGATTAATGCAAGTTTATTGTCCTAAATTTTACTAATCAATACGGCTGATGCAGATGCCAAAATCAAAAGTATAATTTACTTGTCTTATTGGCTAATATATTATAAAAAAATTTTTTTTCCAGAAGTGACAGATAGTCTAAGAGAAAACATGAGATGCCAGCTGTATTCAGTTTGGTCATGGAGAAAATGAGCAAGCGTGAAGTAATCCTTTTTATTTTTGTCTACACAGGCCAAGTTAAAGAGAAGGAAGCCATTATGTAGATCATTCAGCCTTCCAAACCTGGTATGGAAGAAAAAGAAAGTTTTTAAAATAATTCAGTGTATTTCAATAAAGTTTATTTTAAACAATACAAACAATTCATTTGCAACAACAAATGGAATAATTATTTAAGCAAGAATCATCAATGGATACAAAATCTACTGGATGAAAGGTAGTTGGGAACAAGATATTCATCTAGCCTCAAAAGTAGCATCTCACAGATTATTTACTAATTACAAAGGGAAACAGTGCCTTTATTTGGAAAGATTCAGTAGACACACGCATACTCCTACACAAACATACATTTTTATTATACACCAGCACACATATAAACATATTGCAGTTGTTGTGTGTGCCACTGAGTCAATTCTTACTCATAGCGACCCTATAGAACAGAGTAGAACTGTACCACGAGGTTTCCAAGGAGTGGCTGGTGGATTCCAACTGCTGACCTTTTGGTTAGCAGCCTGAGCTCTTAACCACTTTGCTACCAGGGCTCCACATACACATACATACATATACAAAAAAAGTCATATATAGATATGTATGTATGTATATGTATGTAACTTTTTTTTTACACACTTCTCTGCAACTTGCTTTTCTCATGCAGCAATATCTGGTAGAATTTCCAAATCAATTTGTGTATCTCTAATTTGCTATCTCTAACTTTTTAATTTTTTTATTTGGAATTTTTTATGGTTGTAAGAAAAGAGAACACAACATTTGCTAATTCAATGTTTTTCGTGTATACAAATCAATAAAACCAGTTACATCAATCATATTGTAAAATCATCACCAATTTCCATTATCAAATTTTCCATTCCCATAAATGAAACTCAGTGCTGTCTAACAATGATTCCTCCCTTATCCTGTCCCTCCCACCTCTGTTAATTAACTCCGATCTCTATGCATTCGCTTATTCTAGACATTTTGTATTAATGAAATCATACAATATTTGTCCATTTGTGATTGACTAATTTCACTCAGCATAATGTTTTCAAGGTTCATCCACATTGTGTGGCATGTATCAGGACTTCATTTCTCTTTAACGCAGAGTAATATTCCATTACATATGTGTACCACATTTTGTTTATCCATTCATCTGTTGATGGATATTTGGATTGTTTCCACCTTTGGCTACTGTAAATCGAGAACATTAGTGTACATGTGTCTGTTGCTACTCTCTAGTCTCTCGAGTATATACCTAAGAGTGGAATTGCTCGGTCATATTGTAGCTTTATATTTATGTTTTTGAGGAACTGCCATACCATTTTCTAGAGTGACTGTACCATTTGACATTCCCACCAGCAACGGATGAAGTTTTCAGTTTCTTCACGTCCTTGTCAACATTTGTTATTTTCCATTTTTTTAAATTTTAGCCATCCTAGTAGGAGTGAATACTATCTCATTATGGTTTTGATTTTTATCTCCCTTTGTGGATTTTCTTTGGAGCCTGAATAGGACATGGTTTGTGATCAGCTGCTAACCTAAAGGTTGGCAGTTTAAACCCACCCAGCGGCCCCATGAAAGTAAGACCTGGTGAACTGCTAATGATTACAGCCAAGAAAACCTTATGGAGCAGCTCTACTCTGTAACATGGGTTCACAATGAGTTAGAATCGACTCGATGACAATGGATTTGGTTTTTTTAATGGCTAATGACATTGACCATCTTTTCATGTGTCTGTTGGCCATTTGTATATACTCTTTTGTGAAAGGTCTATTCAGGTCCATTTTGCTGTTTTTTTAAAAAAATCTTTTTATTGTTAAGTTGTAGGAGTTCTTTATATATTCTGGATAGTCTACCCTTATCTAATATATGGCTCCAAAAATTTTCTCCCACTCTGTAGGTTGTCTCTTCACTTTGTTGTTAAAGTCCTTTGATATACAGAAGTTTTTAATTTTGATGAGATTCTATTTTGCCTTCTGTTGCTTGTGCTTTCGGTATCATATCTAAGAATCTGTTGTTGAAGACTAGCTCCTGAAGCGTTACCTCTCTGTTCTCTTCTAAGAGTTTTATGGCTTTAGATCATACATTTAGGTCTTTGATCCACTTTGGATTCGTTTTTGTATATTGTGTGAAGTATAGGTCTCTCAAACTCTTTTAATGGCTGGACAGCACTTTATGGTATGAATATAGTATGATGTACTCAACCAGTTTCCCCATTGAGCTGCATTTACTTTTTTCCCCCCAATTTGCTGCCTCTATGGATAATGCATCTTTGTATATACATTATATGTATTGGTTCTTTATTTCAATGAAATTAATATCTAAGGATGAGTCACAGAGTGTGTATATATCTTGTATTAATACATGTTATCAGATTGCTCTTTAAATGAGCTGGTAACAGTCTCATTTACACAAGAAATATATGATGTTATCCTTTTTCTTCAATCTTATTCCCACCAAAAATAGATAATATTGATCTACAATTTTCCTGGAGTCCTTAGGTGGTACAAATGGCTAACTTGCTTGGCTGCTAACCAAAAGTTTGGAGGTTTGAGTCTACCTAGAGGTGCCTCAGAAGAAAGGACTGGTGATCTACTTCTGAAAAATTAGCCATTGAAACCCTGTCGAGCACAGTTCTACTCTACCATGTACGGGTTTGCTATGAGTGGGAATCGACTCAACGACTACTGGTGGTTACATATAATTTTCCTAGTTTGGTGATAATAGAAAGTGATAACTCACTGGTGCTTTAATTTGCATCCCCTCATCATGCTTCAGTTTATGCATTTTTAAAGTATATTTATTCACAGTTTGTCTTTGCTCTTCATATTCTTTGCCTATTTTTCTATTGGATTGCATGCTATTTCCTTGATAATCTCTAAGAGTACCTTGTATTATTAGAAACTTCCAAGTTTAGTCATTTGCTGAAAAATGTCTTCAAATATGTTTTTCAATTGATCTTATTTATGGTAATTTTGGCCATAAAAGTTTATAAATTTTATATATAAATATATACTATATTTATACATAGAAATATAGTTTAAGAATTCCCTGTCTTAGTTAAGAATGCCTTCACTACTCCTAAAGGAAGAAAATGATTTTACAATTTTGTTTCTGTAATTTCTTTGCCTTCCTTGTCAAATTTCTTTCTTTTTTTTTTATTTTGTTGATTTTTAAAAAAATTTTATAATACCTTTACTGAGGTATAATTTATATACCATAAAAACCCATTGTAAATGTACAATTCAGTGATTTTAGTAAGTTTATAGAGTTGTACAACCATCACCACAATCCATTTTTAGAACATTTTCATCACCCCGAAATGCTTCCTCATGCC